TGGGGAGGCAGAGCCCTGGGCCTCGTGAGCCGCGGCAGGTGGGAGAAGGCGGGGTTTAAGGGAGGCCCAGGGGGCGGAGCGAGGAACGCCCGGAATCCTTGTGCGCTCCTCCTGGCAGCCTCCAGGGGACGCTCCGACCCCGCATCCGGATGTGACGTCATTAGCCTTCCGCCCGGGAGGCCTGAGGGACGGGACGGCCTCGGTGTCAGACGCCGGATTCAGGTCACCTGCAAGGGCCCCAGGTAGAACCCGGGGGAGGCCTGAGGGCCCCCGCCCAAGAATCCAGGGGGGCCATGCCATTGCTCAAAGAGGCCCTGGGAGGGTCCTCAGGCTGGGCACCGCCTCCCACATGCCACACCCATGTCCCCGCCCACCATTTTGAATTGTGAGCGTGAAGGCTTTGGTCTGAGGGAACCCAGGTGGGTCGAGGGCGGGGGCACAGACCCACCGGGAGTCAACGGGAGGCCAGGAGGGAGGGCCGAGGGTGCTCCTGGAGCCCACTGCAGGCAGTTTCATCTGCCCAGGGAACCCCCGTGTTGGTGACCCATTGAGACGGCCGCAGACGTCACTCAGGTGTGTGTCAGGGCACTGAGTGCCTTGGTTGGACATGATGGGCCCGGTCAACATTAAGAGGATGCCTGACGCATAGTGGTGAGGACCCTGAGGGAGGAGGGGAAGGGGCCCCAGAGGAGCCGCCCCTGCCTGTCAGCCATGGGAGGCCCCGGGGTGGAGTGATGACACGCGGTGTGCCCTGACTTCCTCCTCCGCGCCTCAGAGGGACTGGGACCGGCTTAAGGAGCAGGCCTTCAGGTCATCGGACAGGAGGGCCCAGGCCCTGCTGGGAAGTCATGATGAGGAGCTCGTGGCAGGAGTGAGGGAGTCTGGGCCCCCCGAAAAGAGTCTGCCTGGGAAGCTCCAGGGTGCTCGGAACCTATGCAGCTGGCCCTGACTTCCTCATCCGGGTATCACGGGACTGGGGACTTGCATAAGGAGCAGGGCCTGGGGTCGGCAGAGGGGAGGACCCGCGCCCAAATGGGAGGCAAGGTGAGGACCCTGAGGGACACCTAAGGACCGTACACCCCAAACAGGTAGGGCGGCAGGGCCCCTGGGAATGGTGTTGGGAGGCCCCAGAGCACGATAAGCACATGAGGTGTTTCCTGTCCTCTGCCACGGGGACTCTTCCAGAGGTGAGGGCTGTGGTGTGAGGAGTGTGGCTTTAGGTGGACAGAGGGGTGCCCAGGAACGTGGGTGAGGACTGAACGGACCCTGTCTAGGAAACGGGGAACCCCAAGCATATCAGCCCCTGAGGTCCACCCTGGGAGGCCAGGCCAGGTGTCAGGAGGAGTGATGGCGTCCCCACTTGCTGCTGATGGGTGTCAGCAGGATGGTGGCCTTGGCCTGCAGGATGCGTCCTCACGTTAGCAGAAGGGATCTTTGCAGGCCCTGCCAGGGGTAAATAGGAAGCCAGAGGCATTGATGCTCTAGAGCCACCTTTTTCCTTTGGATGTTTGCTGATTCTAGTCATGAGACAAATGGGTGGGGCTGTGAGTAAGGGCCTGGACTGAGGGTCTCTACTAAGAGAAGAGAAACCAGCAAAGCTTTGCCTGGTCTATTGGTGGGGGGGGCTATTACTAGATTTAAAGAGCCAGGACTCTGGTGAGAAGGAAGAAAAGAGCTCAAAACTCTGCTGGTTTTTTCCTCAAGATATTTACTGAACTCTGGAACTGCATTAACCAAACACCTAACAAAATGACTGTCAAACTAGAATTTTATACCTAGCAAAAATATTTCTCAAAAAAAGAAGTTAAAGGATGGACAACATAGAAAAGACTAGGAACAACAAATGATGGTGAGGATGCAAAGAAAGGGGAACCCTCCTACACTGCTGGTGGGAATGTAAGATAGTTCAATCACATGGAAAGAAGTATGGAGGTTCCTAAGAAACTCAAAATAGAAATACCATTTGACCCAGGAATTCCACTCCTAGGAATTTACCCACAGAAAACAACTTCTCAGATTCAAAAAGACAGATGCACCCCTATGTTTATCGCAGCACTATTTACAATAGCCAAGAAATGGAAGCACCCTAAGTGTCCATCAG